TTTTTAAATTTAAAAAGATAATAAAATCTCTATATAAGATTTTGGAGACTACTCCAGTATTTAAAATAATTATAATACTATTATTACTACTATCAAGTTTATCGCTATTATCTATAATATAAGATCTTTGTCGAAATATTAGTAAAGTATAGAGTTTTATTAATAATAATCCGGAGTTTAATTAAAATTTTATATAATATCTTAACTGTATATTCCAGAGTTTGCTTGAAATTATTAAATTAATTACTTAGTTTAAAAATAATCTACAGCAGTATCTTCGATATCAGAAATCTCAGAATAGATAGAAATTATAGAAAAGAATTAAATATCACAGATTACTAATTATATATAATATAAAATACCGAATTACAGATTATACTAAGATAGAAAGAATACAGGATCTTAGACAGATTAGAAAGACAGAAATTTTGAAATATAATAAACTATCACAACCGACAAATACAGAGAATCTGTCTAGTACAGAAACTGGCCAGGTAAATAGAGAAGACTCTAGATTATCTTATTGGATAAATACTCAAGGCGATATTGTATAGGAGCCTGAATAGCTTCAAATTTATCGTTTAGGTGGGAATTATCGTTTGGGTGAGGCAGACCAACACGCCGAAGTGCGTGGTGGGTCTGCTGACCTAAGAGATGGCTATTGTCTATCTCGAATACAAACAGAACAAACAGTCATGCACTACTCGCTGATAGTCACTATGAAATCAGCAGCCTGTATAGTGACTGCGCCGTCACAGCGGTGATCTGATGTAGCATCCAGGTTGGTTCCAACTCTAGTATTCGCCCCTGAAATGGCAAGAAGGCTTGAGACAAAGGATAAGTCAAGAACATTACTCCTGTTATGAGTAGGAGTATCTATCTCAGAGATAAATATTAGTCCGAACCTATCGAGCCACTCACAGAGTGGCTCAGCGAATATTGAATGGCTACGCTGAAGTAAGGGTTGCCACCTGCTGTGACGCAGGTTGAAATCCCCAGCGAGTAGAATGGGCTGAGAGAAGTAGGATTCCAGCAGATTAATAAGTGCTTGTACGGCCTTATTAGGTCGGATAGAGTTCACGTTAGACGGGGCGTTATAAAGAATTGACCTGTCCGTGCAGATATTTGAAGTAGAAGAAGATCTGATAAGGTCTCCTGATCTATTAGATCTGAACGGAGCTGGGAAGCCTGGATGCCCCTCTTTTTCCGTATGTAAGGCCAGTCCAGATTAGAACCTAGGAATTTGTTAGTATTATCGAGTACAACAATAATTTGCATTGTGAAGAATGTGCAACCTACCATGGCAATGCACCGTGCTAGTCCAACAAGAATAAGTCCCTGGCGTAGTTCTGGCTCGTCCGGGAGGAAAGCCCAGGCTAATGCCAACTATTGTATTCCATGTAAGTGACCGCTTCATGACTTGGTGGGGTGGTGAAAGGATTACCATGAAAAATGGAGCAATAATCCAATTAACAACGACACTGAAAGCAATCTGAATCCATATCTGACGGGTTTTAAAAACATGATGCAAGCTCTCATACCTCACTTTGCAGAGTATGGGGTACATCATGACAAGTTGACCGATAGCTATCAACTATTAACAGCCCATTTGAAGTCGAATGCACCAGAAGGCGTAAGAATACTCACCGATAGGAACTGAAACTCCCACAAACTCCCCCCTTTGCAACGCAGGTCCAGTACTGGGAACAAAATTACCCAAGATGATCCCGATAGCCATAGCGAGGAATATCCAAACAGCGAAAAAACGGTCTAATAGGCCGAGGTTTTTGAAGGCGGATTGCTTTTGTTGCGGCGAGTCTGACGTATTCGCCTCGGCTTGCTTTTCCACGTCGTTGGCCGGAGAAGGCGCCTGGGCTGCAACATCGGCTGGAGTTCGGTTTTGATTCTTCATCTTAGGCTAGTTCTATTCCATGATCAAATGCAGTTGAACTAGATGGCTGGTACGAATTGGTTAGTAAGTGGCTCGCGGCGTCAGGCAACAGGGGCATGTAAAGTAAATTGACACAAGATAATTATATTGGACGTGACTGCTATTGTCGCCAGAAAATAAAGAGTATTGGGCGTACCTAATGCTGGCTTGGTATCTAGTGCCATATGTAGCAGTGAGAGGTGGACTTATCTTGAGTATATAACTGCCCTTTGATGCTCCTAACTATCGATGATAGGACAGTCCGTCCCTGGATGTCACTGGCGAATGCTGATTGGCCGAGCCTATGTCTGACCCATTGGTGTTGCTTGGCTTGGCCCACCCAGAGCAGAGCTTGCAGCTTAGAAATGCAATTCGGTAGCCAATTACATAGTCCGAGTAACATGCTGGGAGCTCTCCAGGCAGTGGCCTCCAGATCACTCCTAGGTGTTAACAAACTTCACCACTTGGCTATCTGCCTGATTAGCCAGCCATCATGGTCTGGACTGACCATGATTTTTTCCCCCAAAGACAGCTGATTGGATACAGATTATTGAGTCAAGATGTATGTACCTTCTCAGCCCTAGCATGCAATCTATCCCGTTCTTCTGAGCGTAGCAATAGATATCTCTCGTCAAGACCTCCTACAATAGTTTCGCTCAGGCAAAACAGACTAGGAGAGATTTTCTGCTACTAGACTTACGCCATACAAACTTTGAGGTATTCTTCCTTCTTTTGAGGGGAAGAGAGGAAGAGGAGTGGGGGAGAGGCTTGTTTGTGAGTTGACAGCGGACAGGTCCCATTAGGATGTCACTACTAGATGTTTATTGGGGAAGAGTTGCAAAGAGATCATCGACGCCAAGTTTGTTTTTGACCCCTCTGACATTGAAAAGTAGATTCCTCCTGTGACCAATCAGGACACGGGAGTGACATCCAAGCTTGGGCCCCCATATAGTGCAATCGCCCGTGCTGCAGCTACCTGAATGCGTTGGACTAGGCCTGGTGATAGCCCTCGGTCTCGGCACAGGGTTTGCACCTGTGCCTCCGCCTTTCGGGCTTTACGTAGACAGGTATGGTAGTGTGCTTTAAGAGTTAGACCCCGATCTAGTCATATTCCTAGCCGTCGTGTGGCCTCAGAGTTGAAGGTAACTCTGTGTCCTTCTATCTGGATCTTTGCCTTCTGTATCTGATCTTTGAGTAATCTACCCTTTTTCTGGTAAACAAAACTGCTTCAGTCTTTTCAGTATCAAACTGAACTGCTTGTTTTCTGCCTTGCTCTATGGCAACCTTAGCGGCTTGTTCTAGCCCCTGGCAGACTCTATGTACCGAGCTAGCTGATATTACTAGGGCTATATCATCTGCAAATAATATAACTCTAATACCAGGAACTGTTGCTCTATGGCTTGAAAAATCGCTCCCAGATAGATAATAAAAAGAATTGGGGAGACTGGTGAGCCCTGTGGAACCCCTGTCTCTATAGCCTGTGTAGGACACTGCTGTTGGTCAATAACCAGCTGTATTTTGCGATCTGCTAGGAATAACCGCACCCAGCGGCATAGATCTGTGTCTAGGCCTAGATCAATCATTCGCTTCACCAGTCTTATAGCGTTCACATAGTCAAAGGCCCCTTTCACATCCATAAAGAGGGCCCCAACCAGCTGTTTTTGGCCCCAAGCTTGGTGCACTTCCTGAATTAGGCAAGCTACTGCGTCAATTGCGCTGCGTTGTTTTCGGCTACCCATTTGCCCTGGGTGTAGAACTTCCGCTGCCTCGCAGTAGCTAGAGATAGCTTCCGCTGCTACCTTTTCCACTACATTGCCTATACAGTTCAGTGGGCTAATTACTCTGTTGGCCTTAACCATTGAATAGTCAGGCTTATTAGGCTTGCGCAGTAGAATACCCTTTGCTGTTTTCCATGCCTGTGGATGTAGACCTAGTCTAAAGCATTGGCGTACCAGTGCCACTATTCGTGTAGCATCCCAGCTACATAATAATCTCAGTTCCCGGAAGTTGAGACGGCCTATTCCGGGTGCCTTTTGAACTGCCTGACTGAATAGGACCTTTCGAACTATATCGTAGTTCACCTGTAGATGCATAGTTCCCTGAGGAATTGCTTCTATCGTCTCGCCCCTAGGAGCTCTAGGGAATAGGACTTCCCTAACCAGGGCTTCCTTAGTCTCTAGGGTCGTTGCTTGCTATCCCTGAGGGCCTTTAAGCACAGGTGTGGTCCCGGTAGCCTGGGGTTTGCAGTATCTTAGTGCCTGCCAGCATCGGATTGAGTCCTTAGGATCTAGTCCTTCATCAGGCTCTGCCTCTGCCTCACCTGATTGCCCTGTTAGAAAGGCCTCCCAGAATTCGTGCTTTGCCTCTCTGATAGATTGATAGTAGCTATTCCGGGCCCCCTTTAGATCCTGGTTAGTGCCTAGATCTGTTGCCCATATCCGTTTGGCTCTGGCGTATTCTCGCCAACTGGCTTTGACCTGCGGACCCCACCAACGTTTAGAGAATGTTATCCGTATAGGCCTTGCGTGTTTGCTCAGTACCTCTGTTAGAGCTGTTTGTAGCCATACTGCCTCACTTTCCACCTCCGCCCTACTACAGCCATCTAGTAGAGCGGGTTGGTTAGCTGCTAGAGCCTTCCACGTCTGTCTAGCATTTTCTAAGGCTTCTGGATCTGCTTCTAGATTCCCAACTTGCCATACAGTCACCTGTGTGCTGACTTCTATAGGCGGCCTTTGCATATCAATGTATATTGTTGCCGATAAATACACCATCAATGGACTTATGGACCTCGCTAAGAAAAAAAAAATTAGAATTAAATCTAACGCATCAGTGGAAAGACGCTGACTTTATTCAACTTATTAAATATCTCTATGGACCGCATGCTCCTGCAAATTCAAAATTTGCAGGATACAGTAGCAATATTTACTACCCGATATATTTCCACTTCTAAAGAATTATAAATTTTTCACGAAATCTGTAAGAAGTCCCCTTATTTTGTCTACAAATTCTCAAATTTGTTGATGAAAACGGTGGTACAACTGGAGACAGAATTATAGTAGATCTCTATATTTTCCTAAGTATTCTAGCCGCGAAACTCAACGAGTGTGTCTGCCAGTAATAGAAAATCTACTAATCTGGTTATAGAACAGGTTTTTGCCAGCCTTGGACGATATATATATGAAAGCCCCTACTGATCTAGCTGTCGCAGCCGCTCCAGCCAAAATACCTATAGCAGTGACTGCTGAAAATCTTTTAGCTACAGAAGTAGATTTCGATAATATGATACTGAAAGATATTATTAGTGTACTGACTGTGAAGAATATTCTTGTTACTTTAAAAGATTCGAAGATATTACTTAGTATATTATAATAGTTACTAGAGAAAAGATTTTAATAAAATATCTAAAATATTTCTTAATTATATTTGCTTTATTTAAAGATAGGGCGGGTTCTGTTCCTTGTTAAAGTATCAAGTTAAAGAACCGAGTAGACGAATTGCAGTAGATAATATATTGGGGATGTGATTTAATTCTCTAAGAATAATAAGAATTTGTGTTGGTATAACAGGAGTAAACTCGATAAGTCTAAGTAAAAGAATCTATTACAGAATTACTGGAAAATCTGTCTTTTAAGTATACGCTAACTTGTAGTAACAATTTCTAAAACTGTAGATTATTTATATTCAGCTTCGGGGTTATATAAATAATATATTTACCCGAATAGTATTAATAAATCTATTCTCTACTTTTCCAGGGATCTGGATAGATACTGTGAGATAGACTTTATATTTTTCGACTCTCTCTGGCTATGTACGCAGACGAATCGGAATATCTAGTAGAATAGACTGCGTAAAAGATGTGTTAAGATATACTGTGACTGTAGGTTGATAGTAGTCTATAAAAATACAGTCTAGGAGCAAGGCGAGATATCTACTAAATATTTTTCTATTATAGTAATATATCTGCTGCTGCGGGATTAATTTTATAATAGTATCTATTTCTATTCTCAGAGAATAATATCGGAAGATAGAATTATAGTCTTACAGTAGAGAACAGAGCAGTTCTTATAAAGACTCTATTGATAGTTTCTGTCGAGAATATCCCTGAGTCAATATTGAATATAGTTACAGTTTTATAGAGAATTTATGGGTATTTTCTTTGAGATATTCTTTACTCTATTATATATAAGACTAGTCTTGTAGAATAGAGCTTAGTTTTAATATCTATATACTGTCTAATAAGCTACTCGAGCTATAAAGTATCGAGATATATTTATTATAGGTCTTGTAAGTAAGGTTTAATTTAATATAAAATAGAATAAAATCAGTAATATAATAGTTTTAAAAAGAGAGGAGTAGGATATATAACAGTAGCTACTTATAGATTGATATCTCTATTTTAGAATTTTTTCTATCTAAGAACTGTATACTACTATATTTTGCTATATTGTATATTACTGTTAAAAACAACTCGAAAGTATATATAAGTAAGATAGAATTTTTAATTTAATAGATACTAATCTATAAGCTGATTTGGGATTATATAATCTGGGCCCTGTCTCTACTACTTAGTTATAATCCTATTTCGGTATAGTAAGTATATAGAGAATAATTATAACTATATAGCTAATTCGACTATTATAATCTAAGTTTTTCTGGAGATAAGCTTAAGATATTAGAAAAAAGAGAATTTTCCTATTTTATAGTTTTCTTGTATATAGTATATAAACTATATTAGATACTATTAATTTCTTTTTTATTTTTTCTTTTTCTTTTCTTTTTTTTCTTTTTATTTTTAAGACTTCTAGGGTTCGGTTATTTATATAGTAAAACTAACTATATCTAGTACTGGAAAGGCTTGTTTTTCTAGATATTATAGTAAAATAATTTTTTCCTACTCTAAATCTTGATAGGGGGAAGAAACAGTAAAGTATTGTATAATATATTATATAGATATATATATATTTTATAATATACTATACTTA